TCAATCCCAAGAATAATCTTCTGCTGCTTGTACATTAGAAGTACCAAAAGGGAATGATGGAAGTGGTCCAACTTGATCAACAGCCCACAAACAACACCTACTTATATTGACACATGCCTGTACATAGCTTTAATAATATTGATGGATGAAAAATTAATACTCCATAATAAAATAAAAAAATTTCCAAATCAAAAATCAAATTGAAAACATACTATATAGAAAACTTCCCACTTATTCTGAGAAAAAAGGTTAATCTTAAATTCATCTATGAGATTTTGTGAATGATAAAGTTTGTTGATAGAGATAATATCATCTGCTATTGCAATTGCAATAACAAATGGCAATCTGCGATAATGAGGTGGCCATGCAAATTTACTCATCAATTCATATTTGGCTAAGTCTAGATCATTTATATCAGCTTTTTCTTCCATAAGAATTGTTGGTATACTTCCAACATATGCATCCACATGTTTACATTTTAAGGTGCAATATTACGTTAACTTGGAATGAAGAAAGGTAAGGAACAATACCTAACAATCCACCATCCCTTCCATAAAGTCCATCTTCTGAGTCATCTTCTTTCACATTTTTTAAAAGTTTTAGTATTTGAAACTGCATCTCTGAATGATATTCAGTTGTAGATGGGATTACAATATGATTGTTATTTTATGAGTTTGCAAGTTCTGTATAAAATTGGATGTAAGAACTAATGACATCTCACTTTCCAAAATAGGGATGGGCTTTTCCCAATGGAAGATCAAAATGAAAGCTGTCTGAATCAACTGGTTGAACTGAATATTGAATGGGTCTAAGTTGAGTACCTATATCTTTCAGAAATTGTTATGTAAATACAGTTTGTCCATGTAATAAATAATATAGAAATATACAAACAAACAAACAAACAAACAAATAAATAAACAAAATGGAATGAATGGAAATAATTTTTTGTATATTTTTTACACAATTTGTTCATTACCTTTCCCTCCATTTAACACCTCTTGATATAATGCTTTCCATTTATCTATCCTCTCTTCCAGCCTTTTCTTTTCCTTCTTTTCTCTGTATTTTTTTTTCTTCTCTTCCCCTCTTCAACTTGTTCAACCTCTCCTCAGCCTCTCCTCCCAGCTCCTTCCACTCTCCTTCTGCTTTATTTAATTTTTCTCTAACTTCGTTGATAATAGCCATTTTGTGATTTATGCATAATTTCGATCAATGATAAATTAGTGGGCACATGACTTGGAATTTATTAAACGAGGAAAATTATTGTTATTTCAATTCAACTAATATTAAATTCTTTCTTTGTATATTAATATTATTATTGATATAAAATCAGAACACAAAGTACTATATCAAATATTAAACTAAATAATTAAAAAGTTAATTACATTCTTTAGTTAGAAAAACGGTAAATGGTGTACTACTTCCAGTAACAGTTTGATCACTTTGAACTGTTACCCAAACAACGAATTGATTCCCTGGAATAGCCCATATTGGGTCAATTTTAAAGTATTTCGTGCCAGAATTAGCGTTTTTACCCTTTAATAATAAAATTCATTTCCGTAATAAATGAATAAAATTTCATTTTTTCAAACAAAAGGATAATAAAAAAATTATTTATCAATTTACAGTTGTTTGGAATACCACAGTACAACCGTTTCTTATAATGACGATTTCTACATTATCTATTATAAATGTGAGAAATCATTAATCATCATTTTAGAAAATAGTCATGACTTCATACCTTTTGGTTTACAAGCAATACACCACCAACTGATATTTTGTATAGATTTAACAGCCCAAGGACCTGGACCTGGAGCTGGAACATGAATAAAGGGCGGAATTGGTTCAGAAATTGCTAAAGTTGTGAATAATATTACAACGAGAATAGCAAAAGGTCTCGAGAATTTGTTGGGAGAATTCATTCTTTATAATAATTGTGTTAATATGAGAGAATAACGAGATACTCAATTATAGAATGACAGAAAGGTAAATTTCGAAGTGTTTAATTGATTCTATTTGTATATATAGAAGAAAATTTTTTTCGGAAAATTAACTTTGGTGACATGTCACACGACTATATAGAACCCACCTGCCAAAGTATTCGTTCCCGTAAACCACATGTGCGTAAAAGTTTTTCTAAAAAATGAAAATTTGCTATATTGTTATTAAAAAATAAATTGATCCGATTTCACAGCTAGAAAATGCGAGGAATCATCGCATGCCGAAAAAAAGAGTATGAAAGATCGATTTTACAATGCTGGACAAGAAAACTATTAGACAAATGGACTATCAAGAATATTTTCTGAAAGCATACCGATGCATGAAACAATATGTGATTCTCTGGAGATAATAAAGAGATAATAAAGTCAAAGATGACAAAAGTAAAATAAGTTTATTATATCACATACACAGAAACAAATACAACAAAAAACAAACAAATATTCGTTGAATTTGTTATCTGTCCTTTGCCTTCTCTTTACCCTCTCAAGTACCATTATTATTGTATCCTTCTGAAGTGACAACACAAAATCAAATAATTTTAAATCCTGGGCAGCTATTAGAAAGAAGAATACCATATCGTTGTAGATATATGACTTTATTTTGGTTTATGGTTGCAACCTTTACATGGGCATACTGCAACAAAACTAGACAAAGTGAACATTGTTTCACACAATTTTACAGGGCTCGAAATTTAGTGTAGTGATAATTTGATAATTCTAAAAAGGATTTCCTTATCATTATTTTTTTTAACCATTATAATAGGAAATCAATTTTTAATCTCAATTTTAAAATATAGAATTTTATAAAAACTGGTTTAAATTAAGAATAATTATTTTTTTAAATTTTTAATCTCAGCCAATAATGTTTGCAACATCTGTTCATTATGCTTAAGATCATTTTTAAGATTTTTTTCAATTTCTTTTATATCATTTTTAAGATTTTCCTTTACTTCCGGTTCAGGTACATCTGCCAATTTTCTAAGTTCCCCAGAGATAAATGGAGGAAATTCTGGATCATTGCTATCAATTTCTCTGATTTTCTTTCGAATGTCTTCAACTGATGCCCAATAATATCTATATCAATTATCAAAAAATTATAAATACTTATTGATCAAAGAAATAAAGATAAATAAAATTTGTATATTTACAAAACATCTGGAAACCATTCTCTCCAACGGCGTTGATGAGGAAGTAAATAAAATAATTCAATATCTGTTATGATTTTTGCCTTTTGAGCCAAAAATGCTTCATCTATGTTATAATTTTCAATTTGATTGCTAAGAAGACCAATGAATAAATTCATTAAATATACTACAACAACAAATGAAAATGCAATAAATAATATTGTCAGATATGGTTCATCTTGTAATTGCCATGACCCAAATGCTCCACTATCACCTATTGAAAAAAATCAAATGATTATTATTAAGTATAATTATTATTTTACTATTTTTAAAATCATATAGAATTTTACCTGTGAGGAAATTATACATTGCCAATGTTGAGGAATGAAAATCTGTAAACATGTTTGTGTTTCCATCAGGTTGTTGTACAATAAATGAATCTTGATTATATGAACTGTCATTTGTAAAATATGTAAAATATTTAGAAGCAAGATTCCAAGGATTGTTGGGATCACTATTTTTGAAATCAGGGCTGTCTAGTGTATAATCCTCTTGAATTGGTTTCAATAAAATGAAAAATGCATGTGAAAAGCTTAAAATAATTAAAAATAGAATCATTAAAAATGAGAAAACATTTCTAGCAACTCCTAAAATGATTGCAAAATATCTTCCAAAGT